ATGAAGCCAGTATAACCAGACAAAAGTAATATGAAAAGGGAAAATTGCAGCTAATTTGACTTGTGAACATGAATACAAAATATCCTGGAAGGAAATTAGCTGTTGACTTTCGTTCATTCACTCGCTCATCCATCCACCCATTCATTAATTTGAGTGATGTCTTGGATATTGACCACACCAGCAGGCGTTGTATGGTACACGGAGAGCAGAAATGGACAGCAGCTATGGCTTGGTGGAGGAGGTGGGCAGTAAATCAAGCGATCACGCTGGGTACGGTACACAGAGGACGTTCCGGCACGGTGACAGTGTATGCCAAGGGGCATCCAACCTTGTCTGCGAGGTCTGAGAAGTATGTCCGGGCACGTACGTCAAGGAAGCGTGGACGTGGGAAGACCATTTTGGAGACTGCTGTAGGGTCTCAGGCGGGACGTGATAGCAAGAAAGTGGGCTCTGAGATATTTAGGAGGTCAAGGTCATGTTTCCTGAGATATTGCACTTGGAAAGAAAGGGGCTTCCACGTTGCTGTCTCTAGTGTGACTGGAGTCTGTTCACTGACAGAAGGAACCCTAAAAGAAGCTCCAATTTGGGACAAAGAGGCACGTGTGTGGTTTTGGACATGTTTCGAGTTTGGGGTACCTTTAAGAAGGCTAAGTTGAGACGATGAGTAAGAAACTGATGAGAGCTAGAGCTCTTTTGGAGATTTTCAATAGCGCGAGCTCGTAGGTGGTATTTAAACTCATCCTATAGTGGAGGTCACCCAGGGAGGGTATGCGACTTGAGGAGAGACTAGGGCTGAAGACGAATACCGATACTTAACGGAAAGGCAGAGAAGGAGTGAAGACGAAGAAAGAGGAGAATAGGAGGAAAACCAGGAGAGTGTGGTCCTCAGGAGATCAAGGGAAGATGGAATTTCAAGGAGGAGGAGCTGGGACCAGATGGTGGTGAGTGAGAAAATGCTTCGTTCAGAAAGGCTGACTCTCATGGAGATTCTGGGTTTGTGTCCCTGAGTATGCCAAGCACACGTGTACCCATAATCCAGGGTGAGGCGGGGGTGGACTGCAGTGTGAAGGCCCTGTTGGGGGTGCTGTCTCTCTCTCTGTGTCTAGTGGAAGGAAGAAAGAATTTAAAACATAACAGTGTCCAACAGTATCGTAGGTTGTCAAGACTTAAAGAATGAGGTAGACATAGTACTGCTGGGAAATTATTTTTTTTAATTATTTAAATTTTATTATTTTATTTTTTTCTTCAATTTGACCAGAGAAAGACACACACACACACACACACACAGAGAGAGAGAGATAGAGAGAGAGCTGTCAGGTCCAAGACTTGAACCGTGGTCAATCATGTGGGAGTCCTGTGCCTTAACCACCATGCCACCCATCAGCCCCATTGCTCCTGGGGAATCCCACCAATTGCTCCTGGGGAATCCTTTTTTTTTTTCTTTTGGAGAGTTTTTTGCTATAGGACGCGTGCGCTCGCCAGAAAGAGAGAGACAGAGAGACAGAAAGTGAGAAATCACCCCCTGGGGGGATGGTCACGCTGCAATCCCTTCTCCATTCTCCTCTTCCTCTCAGGATCCTAGACACCCACGCACGCACACACACACACACACACACACACACACACACACCCGACATGAGTTTAAGCCACCGGGTCTGGAACTTGAACCGTGGTTGACTACATGGAAGTCCAGCAACATAGCCATTATGCCAACTGCTGGTCCCAGCTCCTGGGGAATTCTAATGAGGTGCTACATTTAGAGAATGAGCTGGAGAAGAAATGCATAATAATAATCTATTATAATTAATGTAGTGCAAAGAGGTAGCATAAGAGAATTTGGGGGGGGGGACAATGAAACTGTTCTGCATCTTGATTATGATTACGGTGGTGGTTACAAGAGTGTGCATTTGTCAAAATTTATAGAATGATAGTCCAAGAAGAGTAATAGTTACTGCAAATAATTTAAAAATAGATAAGTAAAAACAGTGTAGCAATGATGACTTAACATCAGATTCTCTTTCGCTGACTTTGTAACTGATCACAATTTTGTGCTAGCCCCTCTCAGGGCTTTAAATCAGTTGGTAAATGTCAGCTTCTGTAGGTCTGTACCAGGGAATAGGGCACGGTGCTCTCACTTTGTGGAGGGCAGAATAAATATGCAGGCAGCAGAGCCAAAGGGCATTGGACTGATGGTCACAGCCCCTCTTAGAAACTGACTGGTGGGGAAGCCGCGGAGCCTGTGAGCTTGGTAGCCCGGAGATCCTGATGTAAAATGAGGAGGCTGGGTTAGGAAGGACCTTTCTACCTTGGATGGTCTGTGGTTTTATTGCAGACATCCAAAACACAATCCAGTTAGCTCTGTTGTCTGCATTTTGTTAGAGAATAATCAAAATAAACAATGATAATAACTGGCTTTTTAACATATGGGACCCCAGATGACCTGGAGTGATGGGAAATGCTAGGGTTTGTGTTTAAAACAATTTCAGGCATCTTCTGAAAATCATATTGATTAACGATTGATAATAAACAACCCATATAGGACTGCAATGGAAAAGGGATTTTTACATTTGTTCATTTCAGCTGCTTACCCCCACCTCATCACTACTGTCAGGGAGGAATTATTCCAGTTTAGAAGATGGGGAGATTGAAACTCCAGTCACCCAAGGCTTTGGCTGATGTTGAAACTTTTCCAAGACCCACAGTGGATTTGGTGAAGTTTTGGTGCTGAGTGTAACCCATTGTCTCTTAATCCTATGAAAATGAATGGAAAAGTGTAAATTGGGCATCAATTCACACTTAACATTACTCTGAGTATTTGAGGAACCGCAACTTTATGTTGCCCCTAATGCCATATTAACTCAGTTTGTTGCAATAATTTAAAACAATACAGATAATTGTATCCGTATTGTTTTAAATACCCCATAAATTGAAACCAGCCTGAATCCGGCCAGCTTGAAATCAGCTAGAGAAATGTGCGATGCCTTTGACACACATCGTCTTTTTGGACTTTTCCGTGCGGGAAGCGATGAACCCAGGATTTTTAAAGGACTTACTGTGTGCCAAGACCTGCGAGGCACCATACCGCTCCAGAAGTGTCAGGGCGAGCCTGAAGCCTCCTGCTGTCCCAGCCATCTCCCCAGGTCGTCAAGGGTCTTGGGCTGTTTCAATCTCATGCATTTTACTAATTCGTCATAGAAAGCCAGAGTAACTTGAAAAATAATAAAATAAAAGGAAGGAGTTGGAGAGGAGTTTATTGAAATAACCACCCTTCCCGGCCACCCAGAGACGCTCCAAAACTTATTTCTCACCGTATACAAACATTTGCTTTGAACCTCAACCATTTGACCTTGACCTCTATAAACCTTTTTTATTATATTTAAAAAATACTGTCTGATTAACGCGGAAACCCTTTCTTCGGCACTTTCTCGGCACTGGAATCGCGTCAGTTCCTTAAAGTTCCAAAATAACCTTTCCCGGGCACGGATTCGTACCTCTGCTGGGGAAGGGCGGGGAGCCGCGCAAGACGTGCCGGTGTGAAGAGAGCAGAGAGAACTTCCAGCGCGAAAGGAAAATAGAACTTGTGGCCGGTGTTTGTGCGGAAGGGTCTCCGCCATCCTGAAGCTCCCCGATCCTGGAGGGTCTTTGGGCCGCCCGAGGAGCGCCAGGGTGTGGGTTTGCTCCCGACGTCCTTGACCTAAATTTCTGCGCGGTGGCTGGAAACAGGGCGCAGAGCAGGGCGGGCGGCTGGTGCCATCCCCGGATCCCGGCGGCAGGGCCGGTGAACTTGAATGGAGAGGCCGGACTAAAGAGGTGGGGGGCGTCTCCTCCCGGGCCCGGGTGAGGAGCCCCGGCCAGCTCCCCGCGCCTCCCCCTCCCCCGATCCTCCCGCCTCCTGCAGCCCATGTGATCCAGGGAAGTCGGGGTGCGCTCCCCTTCGCCCCGCGCTCGGCCTGCCCAGAGGCGGGGCTCCCTCGGGCCGCGGGG